AGTCTCCAGAGTAGATACGCTGTGTTTGAAAAGCCTGTATCTGTAATCTACTGGTCTGGACAGCTGGCTGAATGTTGCAGAGTTTTTTTTTTTTCGCTTTGTGGGCCCTCTTTCAGATTTGTTTTCCATGAGATTGGAATTAATTAAGAGGCCTTTTAGACCACCCCCCTTCACTTTTTCTTCTACCGAGGGCCTTGTATTGATTATGTGTGTCACTGGATTTCATCTTTTTATTATTAGAGAAACTAATAACGGCTTTGAGATGCTGATAGATATATGCTGCATGTTGTGACAAAGAAACCAACACGCCTCATTACCGCTCTGCTGGAACTTCTACCTCAATTGGTCCGATTTCATCTTTCTCTATCTGGAACTGCTGACAAAACACATGTCCACATGAACACGCATGCAAACATGATTCAGTGGCTCTGACTCTGCAAACACGCCATGCATGTACACCTCAGTTCCCCACAGAGGCTTGTAAAAGCGAGGCTGATTTCCAAAGACAGATCCCCACTCTGTGGCAAGCCCTGACATTGTAAACAGTCTTCATGAAGAAGTCGAGCAGCAGCAGCCGTAGTTGTTGCAGGATGTATCGACAGATTGACTGTGCAGCGGGGCCTTCGACTGGCTGATTGTGTCTTTGCCTGCCTGTGATAATTAAAATGACTCAACCTCCCCCCTGCTCCAGTCACAGTGGTGGCAGAGGCAGAGGCAGGAGGCAGAGGCAGAGGCAGAGGCAGAGCTGTTATTGCTTGTCCTTCAGCTGAAAGGATCGTGTTGGCCGGAGAGCTGAGGGCTTTTGTTCTGAAAGCTGAAAAATCTGGTGTCCAGCCTGGGTGGTTTTTAGCGAAGCGCCTTGGGAAATGAGTTATCTAAGCGGAGCATGCAAGAAAACCCTGACATTAATCTTTAATTAAGGCCCTTTACAATTTTGGACGACATGCCCGCGAGGCTGAGAGTTCCTGTAGGGGATAGATATGAACAGTGGGCAGCGGGGAGGGCCAGGCAACATATTAGTTCTTGTGCTGGGCTCATTTTGTCTCATCAAACTCAAGGATCCGTTGATCTGCTGAGACGTTGCCCCGCTTTCCTTTTTTCTGCAGTTTGGATCACGAGACGCCCTGTAAGGTAAGCTTGGCATTGAGACATTGAGATATTTTCCTTTTAAGTCCCCTGAGGTAGCAGTAGTGAATTTGATGAGGAGTGTGGCTGCTTTGATTTTCGACACAGTGATCCAGATTGCTAAATGTTCCACAGCTCCTGATGAGAGTCTGTCTCAACACTGTTTGTGGGAACACATCAAGGTGACTTTTTTTCTCATACACACATTGTTTTCCACACTCTCTTTTTTTTTTGGTTGTGGATCTCCTGTTGAAAGAGTCAAATGATAAACCTGCTGGTAGAAGCAACGTGCCACTGAAGGTTTTTCCTTGTTTTGTGACAGCTGCTGCCTTTGTGATGTTCCAGAACCCCCCCCCCCCCCCCCATGGACACAACCTGTTTCATTCTGGCTGGAAACTCACATGAAAACACCCCCCAAAAAAAACAAGTCTCCCATGAAACAAAATCAGACTTTTTAATTGTTATGATTACTCCTCTCGCTGTTCCCAGAAGGATGAGAGCATTACAAAGCTGAAAGAGGAGGTTTAGTGAAGAAGGGACTGAGGAGAAAGTGGCAGCACATCTCCCTGCGGCAAGATTTGTTCACTGGCAACAATGAGAGACAGATGGGAGGATGGCGGTGCTAGGATGAGGAGGAGGAGGGGGTTCACACCTTTGTGAGGCAAAGCAATTGGGAGCGATTAAACCCCCTCATTCGCTGAAGGGACGATCCAGTCGGAGGAAGGAGCCGGCTCCAACAGCGCCTGCAGCAGTGTTCCTTTTATCTCCACTCCTCATGAAGACCCTGTAAATGCCAGGGGAGTAGTTAAAGTGAAGCACACAGCGTTCTGCTGGGCTGCTTCACTGTTAATACTCAACATCATGACGGCAAATGAAAATAATTCCTCGGCTTTTCTGCACCACTGTAATGGATCATATATGCAATAAGAGTGTGGCTTAACCCGAGTAATTAAACTCCTGACCTAGTCGGTTATAACTCGTCCCTTTTTTTAACCACATGGATCGGCTCAAACCTTCTTCTGTGCATGTGCAAATCCTACTTTACTTACCTTTGATTTGCCCCAACCTGGAAACAAATGATGATTGAAATGCTTGACGTGCTTCACCATTTCCGTCCCAGATTTGGCAGATAAGGATCCTTTCACTTTCCCATCACGAGAGCGTTTCAATACCCAGCGGCACGCGGCTGGCTCAGGCCTCTCGGTATGCTCTGTAAACTGGCGGCTCATCAGCCCGAGAGCACCTGAGCACAGAGGGGCCCCCTCCATCACCGCCAGATACACAATCACAGGTTCCTCGTCGGGTTATTACGAGTCATTCATCACCTACGCCTGCTTCGTGTTTGTCTTTCGGCAGCTCAGTACTTTTAAATCCATGTATTTACTGTCTGTTCATTGCACTTCTTTTCAGCTTAAGATGCCTTTTATCTCCCCCACTCCCCCCCTCCACCAGTGCACCTGGCTACTGTGGGTACATAATGTACTAATCAGGAGCTATTGACAGGCTTTGATGAGGCACTGTTGTGTGCTTGAAAACATATTGCTCCTGCACCTTGAGAGAAGAAGCGGCCAAAAATAAATCAAACAGGCTGTGGTGCTTGTTCTTTTGATTTCTATGCACACGGCCTCTTCTTAATAGATGGATCGTGAATGTGAAACAGCATTTAAATCCCACCACAGAGATGCATTCCCCAAAGGCACGAGAGCAGGACAGATCAAAAGGCAAAGTAGGAAATCCACACAATCCGTATCAGCCCCGGTATCATGTGGGGTTTGCCCTCCTGTGCGGATACGTGCTACCAGCACCATGGCAACCACGACAATTGATTGGTCGACGTGGCCCGCTGTGCACAGTGGGATATTGTTTTTTTTACTTGCTACCCCGGCCCCCTCACAGTGTGCATTAGCTGTGGTTTCCAGGTACCCGGCTGTCATGTACGCTTACCTTCCCTTTGGTTCTGGATGACTTTGAAGGACAGGAGCTGGAGCGAGGCGGGGACCACTGTGACAAAGCGCTCAAGGTCTCTGAAATGGTGCAGGTGCTGTGAAAGCCTGAAGGTGTTAAATTGAAAATGAGACTCTATTATCAAAAGGAGTCATAAAGTCTTTAATAACTGTGATTCTGTTTACAGATATTTCCCACCAACTAGTGATTCTTCATTTTCTTCTCTATCCATTATTCCTTTCAATCTTTTTGTATAGTTGTGAAAAAGATTATATACCACATGCTCATTGTTAAACACCTAATTAGCAGCGGGAATCAAGCATGACACTGTGACGGCCCAATCTGTTCAATTAACAGATTATATGTTTCTCTACGGGTTGAGGAAAATTCTCTAAATCTGCTGCTTTCATGGAACTCTTTCAGAACCAATGGGAGGTTTTACAGAGGGAAATGCTTCATATTAGTTGGGGGAAATGTTGAAACTTGTTTCCCACCAAAGATCTAAACCATTCAAACACCATCAGGAGTTACTCTCGTTGTCGTTTGCAGGTCATTCTTTGCAAATAACACTAATACAAAAATTATTTTTAAAAGAAAATAAAAATTCGTTAATGTTGGCTAAAATGTTAAACTCTATTTTACTTTCTGTTTGATACAAGACTACAAGCCCGATCTGCTTGGTGGTCTTTAATCAGCACCTCTGTCAGGCTGAAGGTAAGAACTCCAAGTTGGCTCATGATGACGTGGATTAAATATTAAAACTAGAGCAATACTTCTTCCATAATGAACAGTAAATGAACCGCCTGAATTAAGAGCTAAGACTTTTCTTCACCCATGCCATAGTTACCACATTTGTCCCTTTTATTAGAAATATTTAATGTAAAATGCTTGGCACTGAAGGTTGACAGGCACTACAATACTGATGCTCATGTGTCCCTTTACCCTGAAAGTAAAACTTACAAACCTGTCGAAATATATATATTTTTTGTATCAGTGAAAGTGTTGCAGGTGCAAATATGCTCATGTTTCCTTGCCAGAATTTTGCCACCCCGACACTTGAAATGCATATGACAGTTAAAACCTTACCTCCAGGTCACGTAAAATAAGACAATCCATGTTGTTGGAAAAAAAATACTGTAGCATGTGATGCACCCTTATTTTTGTTTAAGATTATAGGGGAAAATATCTGCTAAGATATTCCTTGTGTGCATGATTCTACGCGATTTCAAAATCAGGTAGGAGTTTCAAACTCCTGTAGTCTGAGCCCGGCTTAATGTGTGTTTGAAGCTCTAGTCATGAGTTACGTTTGATTAATAAACACGTTATCTTTTTTTCACATGGAAATTTAACACCCTGGATTCTAAGGTAAAAATCCTCATAGACATTTTTTTTTGCAATATCACCTGTTCCCTACATGATGGACAACTGCTTTGTGTGTCTGATGCTGCTGCAAATTGGTAGGAATTTGGCAAACAATGGGTGGGTTGTATATGAGTTACAGTATATTACTATTGGTATAAGTAAGAGTGTAGTAAAATAAATCCATCCAAAGTAAATGCTTCATGGACTTCACTTCTCTGGGACAGTTGAAGTCGATGATCTGTTGTCCTTGTCAGCCATGTTCTTCAGCATAAGACGGTTTGTTTTACATAAGAAATGCATAACCCATCTTGACAAATACACAAAGAGTATAAAGTATCCCCGCAAGCCCCATCCCCACACCTTCATTAAGCATGCAGTTAAAAAAAAAGAAAAAAAGCAGAACCCAAATGAATATTGAAATGAATAATGTATGTTTTTTGCTTTTGGCTACAGCGAGATCTGAGTCAAACAGGGTTGCACTCGCTGCAAGTTTCAAGGAACTGCAAATGTCAGTAATGGTTTCTTTCTTTCATTTCAAATGTACGCCATGACTGTATGTTCTGCTTTTTATTTCCAAACACTCCAATAAAACATGATCAGGCAAAGACAACAGGGGACAACATCTTTGATTCAGGGTTATGTTAATATTGTTTTGTATTCCTCAAGACATTCAAACCAATATTCAAGCCCTGACTCCGCAGACACATATTCAATATTTGGCGCTCCCCCGAGCCCTCCTGCCTAACAGCTCTGTCTCAGTAGTCAATGCACCACAAAGCTGGCATCCAATCCTTTAATCTAGTTTCATTTTAAATACAATATATACAGTACAACATTTTGAAATGATACGTGTAAAAAAATATATGTCATCTTACAATACAGTACCATTTCGAGAACAGAGAAAGTCAAACAGACACAAGGAACAACATCTGAACACACTCGCTCCACTGAACGATAAACAGCAACGTGTGAACTCCAAACCTGTTGTAAGGTAGTATCGGTAGGCTTCTACATACAAACCCAGTACATTATCATGAGCAGAAGCTGAACAATACGTCATAGATCCTGATGTACAAAAAGAGTCGTTTGATCCACTGAAAAAATGCTTTTGTTCATGCACTTTGTACATGCTCCACTGGAAGACAGCTCACATTTCAAAATAACTCACAACCCTACATGTTGTATTCACATTCATCACTTGCTTTGAGCGTCATTGATCAGACCCTCACAGCCAATATGATGAACAAGCTGCCTGCACACACCTCTTCAATTATTCTCACAGAGATCTGCCTCTAAAGCGTTAAACTCTTACCAAATGGGACACCTACTGTAGAATGACCATTTATAACTAATTAGCTTCTCGACAGGAGGAAAGAACAGTTCTTCCTGTGGTATTAAGTGAAATGTACAGTATAGATAATCCTGTTCACACTGCTCGCTCAAAGGCCCGAGTATGGATTGAGGTTTCTAAACATGCTGCCAATTGCAAATGAATTGCTGTGCGCAGCACTTTGCTGACATCCACTTGAAGAATTTATGCAGCTTTTGTTGTTATCCCCCTAGATGTAAATCTGTCCATAAATCTGCAACGTGCAGCTAGTTTTGGCTGGCATCTTGTTTCAAATAAAGATCAGACAGCAATTTCTCCTCCAGCTGAAAACAATAAAATAAATAAATAAATAAAATCAGCCTCACAACACGGTTGCTCTACCTGGGCATGAGGCGTATCAAAGCCATCCATTATACTTGTAAAACAGCTAACTGCCCTGCGGTGACATCATGGGTTTATAGCTCATAAGCAGGTAATACTGGAGCTGAATTGGCACCATGGTGTGCATCGTAAAGAACACCACACGCACAGCACAATGTAGATTGTGTTTTCCGAGCATCATCCATTCAGATGAGATCCCCTTCCCGAGGAGCTGATCCATGCAGGTCACGGAGACATTCACCAAAATGAATGGCAACATTTCCGGGCAAATGGCAAGGAAAAAAACAATAAGCCGTTTTGTGAGGTGGTGGGCATTCTAATTTCATTTCAGATAGCACATGGGGGACCTGCTGAAGACGGATTTCAAAGTTTTGCTACAAGCCAATCTGCGAAAAGGCCTCAATCTGTGACACTGAACGAGACCTTGAGCGAAAACACAGAGCAGGTGGCCAACCGCAGCAGAGCTTTACAAAACTGTCGCAGCATGCTTAATGACAATCTGCTTCCACCACGTGTTCCTAAAGAACGTCAGTGGTATGTAAACATTTACCTCTTTATTGCCTTTAGTGATTCTTGATGACGTTTCAGCGTAGAAACAAATCAGTCGCTGAACATTGCTCACCAACAGATCCTTACTACACGAACATGGGAAATGGAAATGTTCAAAGCTTGTCTCAGGAACGCTTTGAGCATCCAGATGATGCTGATTTAACATGTGCAGCGTTAATTCTCGCAAATGTTTGCTGCTAAACATAAAGCAAGGTGGGGAATTCTTAAAAGGAACTTCAAAGGAAAGCAAAGTTAAATACCCCAAAGCAGCAGCAGACTGAGCGAACCAAGAGCAAAGATCACAGAGAGGCAGCCATGTAGGAGCAGAAACATTGGGGTTGTGAGAGCGCAACATAGGGGAAAGAACGAATTGAGATCCTATAGCTTCAGGGGAGATGTTGTTTTGCTGGTGTAGAGAGCGAGGCAAACACAGACCAATTTACTGCGGGAAAATTGCGCTGTGGTGAGAAAAAAAAAAAAGAGACCTAAGAGCAGACCTGGCCCATTCTTCACTGTGCAATCTAATCTGAGCTCTTAGAGAAGATGGGTGAAAACAAACATTGTTCTCCCCTCGGCAGCCTTGACGGAACATACAGTGCTCACACAATGAAGAGGATGATTAAACCGGGACAGAGAATACAAAAGAAAACAACAAAAAAAAAAAAAGGAGCTGTTTGTGACAGGGGTGAATATTCAAGGCAACAATGACCTCTGATACGTTCTGCTGCGGTTTCAAGGGGGAAAATAATTAAGGGGCTAATGGGGACATAATGGCAAAAGAAACCAGGTCTACTCTCAAAAGCAGTCATGAATAATTGCTGAAAACACCATGGATTTAATTTGATGGTATTTTCAAGGAGAAACCTGTTTTGTCAAAAAAATATTCATTCACACTTTTTAATAGCTATCCTTTCAGCTGATTTATAACAAATCAGTGGGTTCAAAATAATGAGAGAAGATGAGATTAAATCAACCAAGCAGCAGGTAATGAGGAGTCTGCTGTTCCCTCAGGTAGATTTGTCTTCATTCCTGACATGATACCTACTAACGTCATCAGACTGATGATGGGTGATATGATTAAATTAATAGGGTATAGATATATTGAAATTGATATGGCTGATGTATGCAAAATCACATTTACAATGATACACACATTAATGTTAGATGCAATGACTGTCACTGCTTTGCACCAGATAAAAGTCTTTACATGTGGGACACAGCACCTTCATTAAAAAAATATATCCCTCAAACGATTTAGCTTTGAGTCATTGGAATGATAAGTCTAAAATGATGCCCAGTAGTTGATAATGTCAACAAATCTCGTGAAAAGGCCAGTACCAAAAAACATTTAAGTCTGTCCCAAAGATAATGTCTGACCTCCATAATTTTGTCTGTAGCTGTTAATTATGATAATGATTTTTCACACTACTTTTGCGTCATCAAATTTTCTGCACTCTTGTAAAGCACTTTGAACTACAATTTAATTTGTCTGAAAGGTGCTATGTAAATAAAGTTTGATTGATTAATTGATTGATTGATAAATTAGACATATAAACATGAAGAATCTGACAAAGAAAATTTCACCCCTTTCTGGACTGATTCGCATTGAGCCGGTAGTAGAAATGTGTTTTTTTTGCTACAGCAGTTTGCTGCCGTAGCTTTAAGCAGATATATCTCAATCTGAAGGAAATCCAGTACATTTCAATCCTAATTCAGCTGAAGGGTTAACAACACATGGTGCTCTGGTGAGAGTTTATAATCAACGCAAAGTTATATGTCACCCAATGAAATGGTATGCTTATTCATTTTATACATTTTTGGACAATAATAAGATGTATCAGACTTTGATGCATGAACACACTTCAATAAAACTATAAATGAATAAACGCCTCATCCTGGATCGACGGGTGCAAAACACAACTTAAAAGTGTAACATAAATACAATATAGGGTACCAACTTCTCACCCAGCCCAATTTAGGATAGCTATTAAAAGCGTAAATAAATAAAAGGCTTATGGAACGTTTAAGAAAACATACGTTGGTGAATACTCTGAGGTCAGTTAAACAGTCTGTAAGAATGACTGGGAAGATGCTCCACTAAGGTTACAACTTGCAGGTATAAAAAACTATAGATTGATTTAGCAATCAAAATGAGTATCAATAAATACATACAAAATGAATAAATAAACCTGGAAATACATACATTAGTAAATAAAAAAACACTTTGCCTCTATGATATTAAGAGTCTTTCTGGATAGTCCTCATTGGCTGGGGGGTTGTGTAGTCCATAAACTTATACTTCTAATGATAATCCATTCTTTCTGACTGGCTGTCACTACAATGCGCACACACTCAATATCAAAGGCAATTTTGTGGTCTACATCTTGAACCTCAATGTTGCCATTTTTGAACTCCCCTAATGTGATGTAAGAGGAACACTGTTTCCCTTTTTTAGTCCCAACCAGCTTCTCTCCTACTTCCAGGGCTCCATGGTGGAGAATGTCATTCTGACGGTCATCCGAACCAGTAGAAATCTTGATTTTATTAATTTTGGTCGATTTGTTAAAGACTATAACAAAGAAGTCTCCTGTGGAAGGAGGCTTTCCCCAAAAGTATTCGTCCACAGAGCTGTAAGCCTTTGTGGCATCATAGTTCTCAAAGACGTTGATGTTTGTGTAAAGGCTGGCAGGAGGGTTGTCAGGAATGTCGATGGAGTCTTCTTCAAAGTCGTCGTCCTTCAGTTTGTTCTCGGCTCCTTTGTAAGAGGAGTAGTAGCCCATGTGCTGGAACAACGAGGGCTTAAAGCGGATCACGTCCTTCTGAGCCAGCAGACCCCTGAAGTGGATGAGGAGCCAGTCGCAGGGCATCTCCTGGTAGAACATGAGGAGGAAGTGAGCCAGACGAGGAAGGTCTCTGGAGTGGTACAGCTTCCCGATGTAGCCCAGCTTGGAGAACTCCAGCATCACCCAGTAGGAGCCGTCTCTGGAGGTGATCACCTTCTTCAGTGCCGTCAGGAAGTTCCTGGAGCAGCGCACGTCGTCCTCTAACATCATGTAGAAGTGAGAGAGGTTTGTGCAGAAGTTCAGGAGGAAAGCGTAGTCCACGTTTTGCTTGGAGCGGAAACGAACCCGGTCCTCCGGGTCGTTGTAGTTTCTTTTCAAACCGTCCAGAGACGGATAATACTCTTCTGGTGCCTGGATCACCAAGAGGCGCCCCGCTATGATGTGATGAGCAAACTTTCTGGTGATTTCCTGCACCAGGTTTTCACACCACACCAGGTCAAAGTCTGCCAGGTGGACCACAACCACAATCTCTTTGAGTTCCTCGTAACTGGACTGATCAAAGATGGATTTGATCGTCTCTAGAAGGTAGTTTCCTCTTTTTCTTTTGACTGATGACAGTCCAATGGTGAGATACTCTGTGAACAAAATAACATCTTAAATTTGAATAATGTAAACAGATGAACTTGCAAAATACAACTTCTTAATATAATTTGTAGACATACAAGAAAATGCATAAGAAACCCACTCATTAAATGCAAGACTGTTAATTCAAAAGATGTTCTTGATGTATAAATGTACACTTTAATGAAGCAAGCTGCCTGTTAAAGCTTGTAAGTCTACCTTAAAATATTGGTACTGTTTCATAACTTTAAATCACAAAACAAAAGAATGTTTTGTTGATACAATCAGGAATATTTACAATAAAAAAATAATTAAAGATTCTCAACCAGATCTTAGTGTAGTGGTTCAAAAGCGAAAAAAAAAATGGTTCCAACATTTCTGTACAATTTTAAAAAGCTTTAAAAAACAGGGAAGTCCCAGCTTTTAGTCTTTATTTACCATATTTTTTTTCTCTAATAAAAACATACTGTTGCTCCTACAAGCTGAGGTGAACTGTCAATCCTTTTGAATCGAACACTAAACTACTTACTCTTGCGATTCAGCGGAGTCCCAGCAAGATATCGATAGGTTACATTAATGGATCCAGAGAAGTTACTGAGGTCTCTGAAGGTGTGAACGTATCGTTCTGAGCTTGGAGGGTGAACTGATGTTTCCCTAAGCTGCCTTTTATCCCCTTCCTGTAAAAAACAGAAAAGTAGAACGAAACATTACTTAACATTTTTAAAGAACAGAGAAAGAAATAGGCTGTCAACAAGAAGCAGGGGAGTCCTTTTTGAATGTTAAGATTTATGCTGTGAATAATTTACACAAGGTGAAAACCAGACTTTTGGTTTCTTAAACTCATCTCTTGGTACATCTTGTACCAACATGAGACAATATGTGTTTGGAAGTGACTGAACTAACCCTCAACTTGTGGAGACAAAGGGAATATTAAAACCTCTCAAGGCAGTTTGCATAGCTGAGCAAATGGACTTAAGAAGATCACCAGAGAGCTGGAAACACAGTGTACAGTACAGTTTAATAATTTAAAGGACAAACATGGATAATGTACTGCGATCACCAAGTTTGATGGCATCATGAATTAGAAATAAATCATCTAGATGATTTTCACTTTGGGTCTGCATTATAAAAATTTAAAAAACGTCCTTTAGATTCAAGCAATTATGAAGCGGGTGACATGGATAATTACAAAAACACATTTAGTGCTTATTTGTTTAAGTGTAGACATTAAATAAGAAAAACAAAGACTAAGTAAGTATTTTATCTTAATTGCTACCATGGGAAATAAATGTACTCACCAGCACGTAGCCATCTTCAATGTAGAGGTTCAGGAAGAGGAGGAAGGTGATGAGGAAGCCAAGGAAGGGGATGGTGGAGCGTTTCCTCAGACACCTCATCTTGTCCAGTGATTTCCACACCAGCCTCATGCTGCACGCGCTCTCACTGCGATCTGCATGAGAACAACATGAGAAATGACACGTTAGAGCAGCTTGCTTTGAATGTCGTCAGCTCCAGTCGCTGCATGTGAATAATTTGTCTCCTTTATCAAGCATCAACAGATTGTGGGGGAATTAATTTTAGGACCATACAGCCATGTATGGTGATTATCTTCCACTGGGATCATAATTATTCTTCTGCAGATTTCTAATGATGTGTGATAAAGAAGAGCTGGACCGAATGCACGAGGGAAAAACTAAACGCACTGCAGGATATAAAGGATATAGACAAGCTCAATGTAGGATTAGGCTGATTTGGTTTGAAGCATCCACACAACCCACACTAGAGGTATTTTTAGCTGATAGGTGGTGCTATAGCTGGTGCCCAATTCTCCATTAGTCCAACAGGCCAAATTACATTGTTTTTGGTCTATTAAGCCAAGACTTAGGGCATTGTTAAACTAGGCATCTACATCACCTGATAGAGATGATGAGAAAAAAGAGCTACAGTCATGCTTAAGCTAGCTAGCTTATTAGTAACATACTGTAGCGCTAGAAGCCATCCCAGCTTGTGATTCTTGTGGAAATTTGTTTTGCGTGATAAAAGGAAACAATTACAAAACATATTTTACAATGAATGCGTTGAAAATGTAGTAAACGACCTCAAATATGTTTTCAAAAAAGAAAACTTCATTGTGTTGGAAATTGTAAACTGCCTTGCATATGTTTTATTTCTAAAAACCAAGTTTAATTTAAGCTTTAAATTCTTTAAAGGTAGGTGACCATATGTCACGATGAACGGTTGAACGATTGGGAACGTCCGATTTTCAAGCTTGGCGTCCCGAGTCCCCACAAATGTCTATAAAAGACTAATATGTCCCGGTTTTAAACAGTCACTGTCCTGGTACACTTACATGTCTGTATATAATGTCAACCACTGTTGTTGGGAAGGCATTGCTCTTTTAACCAATAGAAAAAACATAATTAATGCACCACAAACAAAGTTCAACACTGATTCATCTGTACATGTATCAATCATTGTCTAGGTTGTGGCTGTTGCTTAGCTAGCCTAGCTCATCATACTAACAGGACCTGCTGCGTAACGACAGGTAGGCTTGCGGTCATGCCGAAAAAGAAAGTTTTTTTCCAAATAGCTCCAGGAGAGTTTCAGCTTCTTTTAAAAGTACTGGGCAATGAATATGCTGCGTTTTGCACACACTTCAAGTGTCCATTTTCAGTCGGCCACAGTGGAAATGCCAAAATTCAAAGCCATATGAAATCAAGTAAACACAAACGGTGGGTACAGGCTGGAAGTAGTACTGTTGCAATCTGCTTCAGTGAGGCAAACACAGGTGACAACAAACTTTAACGGGCTGCTCAGGAGGACACCGAGGAAGATACATGTGGGTTTGCGATACATTTAAAGTGTCCCGATTAAGAGGATTGAAAATGTAGGCTTTTAGGCTAAACCCAGATTATGTAATTGTTTTTGATAAAAAAGACCTGAAGTTAAGTCATAAACTTTTTATCCATCTGTACTTCTACACTGTTTGCCATAAATCCTCTGAAACTCAAAACCCTTTTTTACTAAACTTCTCTGCTTCCCTGTGTACTCCTCTCTGTCTTTGTAAGGAAGAAAACATTCTTATGGTACAACGGTCAAAAGGAGACACTTCTGTCAGCTCTCATCACATAGCTTACTCCTCTTTGTTGTGAAAATGTGTCTTCTCTATTTGTAGATTATGGGCTGTCATCACTAAAGGGAAAAGTCAATTCAATTTTCAATTCAGTTAACTTTATTTCCAATTTGTGGTCCATAGACGAAAGAGATAAAAGATATAAAAAGGCTGAAGTGGAAAAGAGTAAGACACAAAGGACTATAAAATGGATGATTACTTTCACACATCTCTTAATCCATCAGTTTCTAATCTCAACTGTTTTGGATTTCTTTATCGTTTTTATAGATTTTAGAAAATAAAAAGAGCCGTCAAACAGTCCCAGATATATAAACCATGAAAACAACTGTTTTCATGAAGACAGATTGGAAATTTGAGATTAAAGTTTAAAAAAAACACCCCATCCAAATCCTCATCCCCTCACCATCCCACTCCCCATCACATCCCAATCCTCATCCCACTCCCCATCACATCCCACTCCCCATCACATCCCAATCCTCATCCAACTCCCCATCTCATCCCCATCATCATCCCCATCCCCGATGTAAACGGCTTATCTTACATACATCACAAGGCTTATCCACAACAATGAAAGCTATATCATAAACTGCTTGCAGCTATAGAGTTATGTATCAGGCCCATTCATGACAGGATTGGCAACTCCTTATAGAAACTGCTGCCGAGATTGACGGAGGGTGGGGGGCTGGTGGGGCATAAACAGCAGCAGCTGAAGCAACAGCCTACAGATGTAACAAAGGCATTGGTCTTTTCTTTGCTAGCAATTAGACATCAGCATGCGCTTTTGTTCCACTGCTGAAAAAAACCCCCAGAGATGCCTAATAGAATACAAACTAACTGTAAGCTCAGTTCAATGACCATACACACATTGATCACTCGCACCAGGAGTCAGCATCACCTGGGATTCTTGCAGTCAATACCTCTTGTGCACGCTTGAAAACTGAAGTTAATGTATCCCTCCTGTGTGGCCTGCTTTGTGCAATTTCAACCCCAGTCTGCTTTAATATGACCCGCAATTATTTGTGTTTACAATATGTAGAGCTGCTGTCATACCACTGCACATCAGATCAGCATTGTTTCCCACAGTTTGTGTACGAATCAACTTTTGTTGTGATCTAATATACCATAATTTATACACAAAGTGTTAAGATATAGCAGCGATCTGTTGTTGATGCAATTAAGATATTATGTTACTTTTAAATGTATTTGATTGAATGTCATTCTTTAATAATTTAAGAGCTTCAATACACTCATGTAGCAGATAGATACTGCAGCTTAAGCTGTATAAACATTTACAGGTGCACCTGTTCCAGACATTTAAAATGTTACCTCCTCAGGATTTAACTTTTAATTAAATCAAGAAATTAGTCAGTAAAGAGGCTTTTTTTTAGATCTGTTAGGTGGGGGTTGTTTCTATAGTAGATGAACAATGATGAAATTGCGAAACAGACTGTGGATCATCTTAGATTTATTCAGCCATGGTCAGACAACACAGAAACACAACACATGTGACTGACAAAGTGCAGAGCATCGCTGACCCATGCTGACAAAGATCTCACAATCTCTGGAAATCATTGACAAACATTGGCAAAGTGGCAAAGTCTTCATCTTCACAGTGTTGCTTATATTCCGCTAGAAGGTACATCCTACAAATTTCTTGCTGCTTCGTTACATCTCTAAAATGCTAGAAAGAAGACATCACCTTGACTCGTAAATGTCAGACATTTTATTCTTCGCAAATCTTTGCTTACAACAGGCAGTTGGCTCCAAACCAAATATAACTCTGCTGCTATGAGATGTTTTACAAAGATATGGTTACAGCTTCAACCTAAGAGAAGAATAACTCTTAGATGGTTGACACAATTACAAAGATATACAAAGATATATCCACAAAATTATCAAGATGAATTAATTCATGAAAATACATACTAACAAGATCCCTTCTGTAGATTTTAAAAATGTATTTAATGTGTATCTGGTAGAAAAGTTGAATTGTCTTATGATCCAACTAAAGTCAAGTTAACCACGATGGACAATAATGGTCATTAGACAATATCACATGCCTTCCTTCAGCTGTTGCTCTGAGTGTCTGAAATGAGCAAAATTGCCCATAATTACAAATGTTATATGAATTATAGAGGATGTCTTGTGATTTCTTTTACCATCTTTTCTTTTTTTCTCTTCCTTTGGTAAAATCCAACAACCTGTTCTATTCAATTATATTCTCTCTCTCTATTTAAATATATATATATATATATATATATATATATATATATATATATATATATATAGGTTTCCGGTAAATTGTAGAGTCTTGCTGAAAATAGCACATCCTGATGAGAAGAATCATTATGGAAGACTCTCTGCTGATGGCTACTGTCAAAATGTCCTCATGACACCATGGGCTTAAGTAAGTCTTTCTTCTCAGCACGCATCTTTATTGGCAGTTTCCACAGGATCCGTGTGCACAGCGTTCAGAGAAACAATGAGCAACAGGTAACTTTGTCTTTCTTAGGTAGATTTGCACTTCATGTTGTGCATATTTTGACGTAATGTTTATAAAGTGAAGGGATATACGACTGGACGTCTGTACACTGTGTTTTATTTTGAAGTTGACCGGATGCACTATGCATTCCCTTGTCTGACTTTCTGTCTGGGTCGATGTGCTCTGCTCAGCACATGCTGGAGAAGGACCGCGTCGCATGCAGTGGAAATACGGGCATTGACTAAAGAGAGCTCAATCAGCTTTCTGAGTGTGAAGCTTGGACGGAACAAGGCACACACGGATCCTTTGGTAACCAGTTAAGAGAAAACTCTGCAGCGTCAGCTCTTAACGTTTGTAAAAGTCAAACAATGTTTTCAAGACATTTCGAACAATTCAACTATTTTTGTTGCGGGATCCAGAGGGAGAGGCACAATCAAAGAACTTTTCTGCTTTTTCTTGAATAGGAGTCAGTCTCTTAGATTGGAATATGTTCTATGTCCATCCTGATGAAACGAGACAGAGCTATAGACTAAGGTCTTCATTTCAATTATTCAGTATGTGCTCAGAGCAGGAATGCTCGTCCTGGTGAACATGCTCGCGTCTCCTGTTGCAGATTTTAACTGGGACTGAGATGTACTGTATGACAGCACACCTAAGACAACACCATTAACCCTATTTCTGGTCTACTGTAGCTTCTAAGAGTATTCCTGTTTATGGAAAAGGCATACATGGGACATATGGATGACCGCATGAGTTCCCTGAGAGCATCCATTAACAAAAGGCGGACATGTGTGTTGTTGTTGTGTTCATCCTTGTGGCATGAATCCATAGTGGA